CATCTTTCCAATGGAATTGCTTCCCAAAGTATGGCAGGTGAGAGAGACTGGACAGACCCAGGGAGTCTGCCAGTAGCGCAAACACCAAGATTAAGGTCACAGGTGTTCAGGGAGCACAGCCCTATGTGCTGTCAGCAGGACAGGTGTCAGGAACTTGGGGAAGAGCAAAGCTGTCTAATTTGCTCAAAAATGAAAAAAAAAGTAAGGAAATAGTATGTTCTGGTCTGGTCCTAGGCAAATTCATGAAATTTTCCACACACAGCCTTAAGGATCTAAACTGACCTCCTTTGGCCCTCAGGCCAGCTCTCAAAAAGAACCAAGGCTCACTGACTAAGGTGACAATGACAAAACAAAGGACAGTGTTGTAAATTAGGTGGTGATGATTTTACACATTCAAAACATGTTTTACAATGATTTCTACTACGAATACAATTCAAAACACATTTTATAATTATTAATATTAATTTTCAACTCAAAACACATTTTGAGTTGTAGCATGAGGGCTCTGCTTGGACAGGTTAAATGTCCCCATCGCAGAAGCCTCTGCCAGAGCCAGCTTCAGGGTTTCTTGTGCTTGCTTCTGCGCCAGCCACCTCAGCCCCTCTCTCAAGAGCTCCCCTGGTTTCCTGGCCTCCATTGGCTTCACGCCTTAGCTTCTGCATCCCTGCCTCATCCTGCTGGGTCTCTCAGCTTTGCATGTGAAATTCTAGCTCAGATCTCAGCCTCACGCCACGAGCAGAGTTTCTTCACATTTACCTGTGATGCTGGATGTGGGAACTGAAATGTGGCAGCGAGGCCCAGGCTTCTCCTAGTCAATGCTCACCCTGGATGAAGATCCCACATGGTTTTGGAGAATTATTGAGTTCCTGGGAAGTGATTATGTTTTCAGGGAATGCTTTCCATGTGGCCCTGGAAACTGGGTACATTAAACCCCATGTGATTCAGTTTCTTTGTTATTAGGGATCATCCCAGTGTCCGTTTCAACTGGAGCTCATAGGATAAAGTGAGTTAATCCATGGCAGGTAGAAGTGCTCAGTTAAATTCTGCCACCACCGTCCTCATCATTCCTATAGATCTCTACTGCTATGCTATATTGCAAGAAATTGATCCTGACTGATTTTAGCACAAAAGTTTTTGTAGTTATTTGGGGACTTCATCTAAATAAGAAACAGTGTGACGAGATACAACGCAGAATGGAAGTAGAAAAACAGTGGTTTCTCAGATTCTCATTTGCAGGGATATCAACAGTGATGGCCTGTTTTAAAGACGATGGTCAAAAGACCTGCCCAGACATTTCCCCAAAGAAATTATATAAATGCCAATAGAGCACATAAAAATGCTTAAACTACTAATCATTAGAGAAATGCAAGTCCAAACCACAGTGAAATAAAAATACCACTTCACACTTGTCAGGTTTGGCTATTAAAAAAAAAAACCCAGAAAATGATAAATGTAGACTGGAAGTGTACATCAACGGTTAGACAACTTGCCTAAGACCCTGGGCTGATCCTCAGTACTGCAAAAGTAAGAAGTGTAGAAGAGGATGTGGAGGGACTAGAACCCTCAGACATTGCTGGTGAGGATGTTTTGCACTATGGAAAACAATTTAGTGGTTTCTCAAAAAGTTACACATAGAATGACCACATGAGCTGCCATCTGCACTTGTGAGTGCACCCTGAAGAAGTGAAAGCACAGCTTCAAAGAGATATTTGTACAGCTGGGTTCATGGCAGCAGCACTACTCACAGTAGCCAAAGGTTGGAAGCAATCGAAGGAATGTATGAACAGATGTACGGATCTAGATGAATGTATGAACAAAACTTGGTGTATATGTGAAATTAAGCCAGTCACTGTAAGATTCCGCTTTTACACAAGGTACCTAGAGTCATCAAACTCATAGACACAAAAAATGGACTGGTGGTTTCCAGGAACAATGGAGAGTTAGTGTTTAGTGACTATGGAGCTTCCATTTGAGAAGATGAAAAAAGGTGTGGAAAAACGTTGGTTGGTGATAGTTGCCACCGCCACTGAACTTTACTACACACAACTACAAAACTACAAAACTACTACAGAGTTTTGCTATGTAGCCCAGGCTAGTTTTGAACTCTCAATCCTCCTGTCTCAGCTGGGATTACAGGCATGCACCACTATGCCCACTCTATGTTTCTATTTGCCACACAAATGCACACAGAAAAGATCATGAACTTGGATAAGGACACTGGAAGTGGGCACAGGCTAGAAATTTTCACTGATTCTCAGTGGAAAGTCAAATCATTGCCTTCACTAACGTTTTCACTCAATGAATATTGCATACCTTACAGCAAGTGACCCAGCACCTCCCTTTGCAAATCTCCTATTAGAGAAGGCTGTTTAAGTGGAGGTCAGCTTATCAAGGAAGCTTTCTGTAGGAATGCAGATTATAATGGCTTCCCAACATTGTAATGGGTTCTACTGTTCTCATGATCACTGTGAACTTGTCCTAGCTTGAGGCTGGTCGGGATATGAATAAGTGATCTGTGAGGAAGGGTTTAACAAAGCAGTGGAAATACAGCTGGCAGTGTCTTCAATTGTTCTGGACATTCATATTCCATTTTTCTTTGTTCAAATGGTCATGAAAACAAAAAATCAACAGGAACTATTGATCAGATTTTCTTTTTTTCTTCCCTCTTTCCCTCCCTTCCTATTTGGGTGTAAGTCTCCTGGAAACTAGAGGAGACATTGCCTTGGTCACTCATCCTGCACTCTCCAGGGTCTCAGTCAGGTGACTCTGAGCCCCATGCAAGGCATTGCCTTTGTGGTCTTTCTTGGTGGATATTTTGATGTCTGTGATTTGTGTAAACACCTTAGCCAAGGCTCCTGCTTCTGGGCACTGTGTTGAGCTCAATCTTTAGCCAGCCTCAGTACCCATTCATAAATATCCAAGCTGTGAGCTAGGCACTAGGGATTCTAGGTCTGAATTCTTGCCCACAAAGAGCTCACAATCTCTCTCTAAAACAATACTGTTAAGATGCAGTGAAGCACACAGGGTAGGACAGAAAGCAATCCAAAACCTCTATGTGCATTGATTCTGACTCTATGTGCATTAATTCTAATGTGCATATTATGAGGTTTATGTGTCCGTCTATGGGTTTTGCACATATTCGATCATTTTATCTCCATGAAAAACCCCATAAAGTACTTTTTTGAGTCCCACTTTTGAAATGAGGAAATTGAGGCACAAATACGTTAACTAACTTACAAAAGACCGTGTGGCGAGTGTCCAGGCAAGCCAGGCAGTCTGGCTCCAAGATTTAGGTCTCCAAGTACCACACTCAGACCTTTCACTCAGTTTTTCAGAGTAACAATGAACCTCAGCCCCAGCCACGAAATCCTAAATGTGGGTTAATTGAAGGGATTTTAGGCCAAATTCAAACAGCTGTGTTCGTAAATATTATCTTGTGGAAGAAGGGGAGGGAAACTGGCTAATTTGTTTTGTGGTTGAAGGGCTTAAGTAAATTTTTATTTTATATTACCACAAGAAATTAATCTTGGTATTTTCAGTTTCTAGAACAGACGATTTGGACTCATCACTGCAAATAACTTTGTTTGGTTTAATTAGGCCCAACAATTTGAAGTCGTTTCCTTTGTAAGAGATGCATATGGCTTCATACACGCAAGCAATGACCTATGGCTACAGGAAACTACCCTGCCATGTTATATATCTGATGTGGATAAAAAGGACTTTTTTTTTTTTCTCACATCCAGTAGATGTAGGAACATTTTTATCTTCTGTGAATCTTGAGTTGCAGAATGGCTGGATGGTGAAGAGGTCTGTCTAAGATTCAAACTCTGCACTGGTTCTTAATGAGCTCAGTTTACTCTACTGTAAACTGGGAACACAACCTCCTATTTTGTTGGCAAGTGCAAAGATTAAATGAAACCATACACATAAAGGGCATATCAAAGCCTTGGTCTGATGCCAGCTGGCATTGTATCAACTGCTGTGGCTCCAGGGGGTTTACTGGAGTTACTAAGGACCTGTGATCCTCTGAGCCTTTGTTCTGAGACTCAGAGGGAGGGATACGATTAAATTACTTGCAGATGTTGCCCTATGGCCACTGCAGCCCCATAATATTCAGGCTGGGCTCCACATCTTTCTTTAGTAATGCAGCTTCCCTTTCAAAAGCTGCCAGAGTATTTCACACGCAAGTCTGTCTCTGGAATTGCCTATGTAGCTGGAGAAAGAGGAAGTGCTCACTAGGATTTTCATCTTCTTCCTTTTTCTTTTGAATAAAAAAAAGTGTGTATGTGTAGGTTCATCAAATTAGGAAATCAGGGACAAAAGACCCTTGTGTCTTTTTTATTGTTGGGTCGTTTATTACGTTAGCTACTCCCATACTTTTTCTTTAGATAAACTATTTTACAAAGGGACTGATTTTTGTCAATAATGCACTTATTCCACTCCTAAAGTAAACTCTGAGTTCTTAAATAAGCATAAGCCTGTTCTGCTGACCCAAGGGGAAAGATCTGAAATCTGTCCAGTCTAGAGGAACAGGCCCTGGGCAGGCACCACGTCTGGATTCCAGTCTGTCCCTCCCTGGAGGTGCCAGCCCAGCTTTAATGCACCTGCAAAGGAAGGGAATCATTTCGCTATCTTGCCCTGGGCAGGGAAAAACCACTGGTCCCTCTCCCCCAGCCCACCCTGCAGGTTTGCTTGCTTCCCACTCAGTGCGCTTTCGATGTAAAGTGCCAGGGAGGGCGGGAATCGGCGCAGGTGAATCCCCTGAGGGTGTTCCCGGAGGAGCAGCCCGGAGAGCAGAGCGCGGATGCCAGGAGCCGCTCTCCCTCCACCCTCGCGCGTCCCCCGCCCGCCACCCGGACGGCTCCGGGAGGCCCCGCCCCTCCCGCCCCAGCCTCCGCCTCGGCTTCTGATTGGCGGTCTGGCGCGTCAGTCGGGCCCGGGGCGGGACCGCGGACGGCTGTCCCCGCCCCTCGCCGCCCGCGCGGGTCGGCCGCGGGGAAGCGAGGCCGGGCTCCGGCGGGCGGCCCACGTCGGACTGACCCCCGGGCGGAGGCTGCGCGCCCGTCGGCAGCGCGCGGACCGCATGGCGGCGCCGAGGAGCTCCCCACGGGCGCGGGAGCGGCTTCGCCCCAGCGCCGCAGGTGGGCGCCGGGCCGGACGGGGCGGGGGGCGCGGCACGGGCGGTGCCGGCGGATGGGCGGAGGCCCCGGGAGCCGAGGACGGACGCGCCTGTACGCGGGGTGCTGGCGGTGGGGGGGCTGCACCGCACCTGCAGGGGTTGAGCTGCGGTGCGGACGGGGGGTCGTGTCTGAATGAGGAACTAAAGGCCCTCGAGGGACAGAGGTGTTGGGGTCGCCTGCCGAGGCGGGGACGGCAGGTTCCCGGAAAGGGAAAGCCAGCCTGATGGGTTGGGGTGCGGTAGGTCCCATCACAGCCGCCGGGAGCGGCGGGGTCCACGGGCGGGGACAGCCCTGGAGCGTGGACCATCGGGACGCTGGCCAGGAGGGAAGCTGCCATTTCGCGCCTTGCGTGCAGAGGATGTGGTTCACACCTTCGCAGCAATCAGACTTGCTAAACAACGGAGAAAACGCTGGCTTCAAAAAATGGCCAAGAACAAAAGAGCGGCGCAGGATGTCGGCAGGTCGCGCACGCAGGTCTGGTCCCTGACTCTGCGTCTCCGCCCCTCTGGCCGGGTGGCTGGGCCCTCCCAGTCCTGAAGACCATACGGGTGAAGGGCGTTTTCCTTCCTGCCCCTCAGCTGTGCCATTGATGCCCAACTAAAAGCAAGATAAACATAGTTGCTTCTCAGTTCTGATGGATTATTTCGGTTCCTGAGTTTCTCTGGTGGCCCGCTGTGAATCTGGGGAGCATGCCTGTTCACGGTGGGCTGCAGGGTCTGAGCCATTCTGGGAGGTGGGCAGATAACTGCTGTTCTTGGTCCCAGCAGGAGCTTTGAATTCACACAAGCAAGCTAAGCCGTTGGGCATAGTGGAAACAGCAGCCATTCTGGGAGTCAGGACTTGAGGTCTAGACATCATTCTGTCCGAGTGTCTCGATAGAAGTACACTCACTCAGGACTGTCACCCCGCATCCATAAAATGAGGGTGTTGTGTTAGCTGATCCAGAAAGCACCTCCCAGTCAAGCAGTCTGTGATTGACTTACCTCCCACTCTGGAAAGTTTGGAGAATAAACTCACTTTTTAACCATTCTACACCTTGGGTTATTATAGAATTAGCCAAATATTTCCTGTGGGTGTATTCATTTGAACTTTTTATTATGTTATTTTCTTCCCTTCTCCTTGCCTTAATTTTGGCAGAAAAAGGAAAGTTGGAAGTGAAGGTAGGGGCACAGCTGAAAGAACTGGTTTGAAGGCAGAATAGTGCCTATTTTTGGCCTAATATAAGATAGAGAATTTTTCCTTTCTCTGCACCAAGTTCAAGGTCTGCCACACCTGTTAGCCTAGGGAGAGAATTCTCCTTTGCTTCAGCTCATGGGGTCTGCAGTTGGTGTGCAACAAAGGAAGATTGGAATTCAAGGATCAGATTATGGAAAACTTTTCCTCCAAAACAACTGAAGTCTTAGGAGCATAGTTTCTCTTCTTTGCTGGTTATGTTTGGCAAAAACTCAACAGTTTTTAAATCAATTGCCCAAGCTGGGAGGGAGACTGCTTTTTTTAATCTACCCCTAGCTATATATTTTGGTAACAGATGCAGATTAGCTTTTAAGATAACAGCATGTAATTCCAAGACAAATAACAAAAACAGAAAAAAACCCCACAGAACAGGTAGGGATAGATAAAAGGTTTTTGGTAGTTATTTATACTATTGTTAAAAGCGTTTTGATATGGACAATCATGGACTAAGTGTCTCGGGGCACAATATTCCTGGGAAGCCACTGTTAGTATCAGATATTGAACAAGGACGAGACATCGAAGCTCAGAGAAGATACTATCACCTATCGGGAAGGCAGGGGAGACCTGGTGGGACTGTAGAGTAGGCTCCCGATTCTCAGTTCCATTGGCAAACCTGTGTCTGAGGAACGAATGTGCACCACACATTAGTCCTTGATCCTCTTGACTCAGGGAGGTGGTACAGGTCCTCTGCGGTTCTTTCCACCACTGTCCGTCTGTTAGTCGTAATGCTCACATTTTCAACCATGTTCTGAGGAGCTTCCTAAATCCTTGATGGTCTTTAGGGGCTGGAGGACAGGAACGCCCAATATGGAAGGGGGGACCCATCAGCCAGGTCTCCCCGTTCCAGCTACTTTTAGAGCAGCTCTGCCTTTTTTCTTCTTTGTCTATTTCATGTTGCTGTTAAAGGTGAGATTTTGTTTGGGGGAAAAGGCTCTAATGTAATACCAGAGAATTTAAAATAACAGCGATGGCTAACATTTGTTAGTGCTTCCGTGTGTTAGTTCACTTATTACATGCAAAGTTGTCCTGGCCGTTCTATGGGCCCATAGTTAGCACTTGTATGTTAGCTGCTGTTAGTATAAAATAACACTACTTTGTACTACAAGGTTGCTATAAGGTTTATGTCCATTTTTAAAAAAACAGTAACACACAACTTATACAAGGTCACCTGCCTCCTACCCGGGCTTTTCTGCCAATTAAAAGGCGTGTTCTGTAGTACCTGTGTTCCGTTATCCCAAAGCCCTTCACGGCTGACTGATTTTATGTAGGAAGCAGATGTTTAGGGCAGGCTTAGGCAGTCTCTGGCCTGATCCCATGGGTAATTGCAGGTGGTCGCTAGGCAGGCAGGTGAGTTTACCTGGTGAGCCCTTCTGTGCACACGGGGACAGCTATTGACCGAGTTGCTGGCTGGGCATGAGGCGTGGGGGTGGGGTGTAAGCATCCCTTCCAAGGCAAGGACTGCTGAGCATGGGAGCTCGCTGTGCTCAAGGAGCGCACACTGAGTAGGGGTTCCAGCAGTGGTCACTGTGCCAAGAAGAGTGTAAACAGCTGTGGGTCTCCCATATGCTAGTTGTGAGCTTAGGGGAAATATTTTCCTTTAAAAAATGCTTTGAGGGACAGGGGGTGTGATTCAAGTGATGGAGCACCTGCTTTGCAAGTACAAAGTCCTGAGTTCAAACCCCAGTCTCACACACACCAAAAAAAATGTTTGAGGACTGGGCCATGGTGGCCCATTCCTGTGTTCCCAGCAGAGGAAGGAGGATCATGCATTCAAGGCTAGCCTGGGCAAAGTTAGGAGACCATATCTCAAAAACAAAATAAACAAAAGGGCTGAGGGCCTAGCTCAAGTGGTAAAATGCTTGGAGGCTCTGGGTTCAATCCCCAGGTCAGTACCACAAAAAAAGAAAAAAAAAATGGTTTGAGGGCTTAAAGGACAAAACCCAACTTTGTTAAACATATACCCACAAGAATGTTTAAAGGATCCACAATTGATGGGTTTTGCTACTCATTTGTCCCACTTTTAAGCTTTCTACTCTTACATTTCTATGAGATGATTAAACACCAAATAAAAATGTAGCTTTTTTGGTACCTTGTGGTTTATCTAGGTAGATATTCTTGACTGATATAGATATTAGCTGGAAAGTGACCTTTTGCCTGGCTTGGGTCCCAAGGGAGACTTAGGTTCAACAGGGAGGCCTCCTCTGGCTACCTGGGTGAGTGCTCTCCACTGTGCCCATGGCATCCTATGCTTGTCCCTGTCACAGTTACAGCAGGTATTTGAATTTTTTTTAATGGTGCTGAGCAGACACTGACCATGTGGTCTTTATAGCCACCATCCTTTGACACTCAGAATCATTGTAGAATGTGCAATGGCTCCAGCTTGGTGTGGGCCTCCACTAGTGACAGGTTCTCAGCCAACCATCTGCCTGCTGCATGTCTCCTGAAACAGAGTCCTGGCTTCTACCTGAGAGTGCCCCATAGTTCCCAGGGTCATCTCATCACATTAAAGCTCTTCTCAATGAAAACTGGGTTATCATTTTTCTTCCTTTGTTGTTTGAAGGGACTCTCACAGGCCTGGAGCATAGGAAAAGATAGGTTATAAACAAGTTTTCATTACCAAGCTAAAGTGTCCTATACATACAATGTCCTCTATTTGTAGCTAGTAAAATCTCTACTTAACCTTCACAGGAGTTATTGGACAAGTATATTTGACCAGGAAATGTTTCCTTTCTCTCCTGTTCACGGGAGTCACCTGATAAACATCGAGTTGCTTAGTAAGACAATTTGTTTTCAAAATTGAAGTCGTATGCCCGCTTGATTTGTAATTAATATAATGGAAGAAGGTTTAAATGTTTCTTCACAATAAATGAACGAAGGAAAGTTTAGGCATGTGTTCTCATTTTTCCAGTAGCCTTTATTCTAGACGTACTCCATTTTTTAACTTCCCCATCTCATTGGAGCCAGAGTAGAAGGTGGCATCCTGTTTAAATTAAGAGAATGATAAGGTGTTTGTGTGTAACTCTGGGACATGTAGGACTGTAGTCTGTTAGTACTGTTCCTGGGATTCCTAGGAAGTAAAAATCCCAGAAACTAGCACATAAAATTGTATGCTCAATACATTTCTGAATTAAGAATTTCATAGTAAATCTTTTGTTGTTGGTTTATCCATGTGGAATTGTGGGATGAGTAGACAGGGTTATTTAAAGTACCTCATTAGCTCTTCCTCCTCTTGCTTTGTTACTGGTTTTTAATGGATATTAGGTTTGGTCTTCTAGCAGAGGGAATAATAATGTAATTGGAAGTCAGTTTCTCAAGAGAGCCCTACCAGATTCTGAGAGAAGTGAATCTCATTAAAAGTCAAACTTAAAAAAGAGAGACGTATGCTACCCGTGTTGTCCCCATTATGGTGGAGATGAGCTCTCTGCAGTCTAGGCTTAGGACGGTCTCAGTGGGTGCAAACCAGTTCCTGGAGGTGGCAGTGGAGCTGGACTGGAAGCTCCTAGAGGGTGAGAGTTGAACATTCTGTGTTTGTCCCTAAGCCAGTGCATAGCATGCTCCCCATGGCATTTAGTCTCCCAAGTTTAAGAGAACTGAACTAAATTCTTTCTTGCCTTAAAATGAGAGAATCTATCCGTAGGTCTTAGAATAATGCCTGACACATCAGGGATGTATCCTGTGATGTGTGACAAGAAGGCCTCAACCTGCCTGTAAGCTGTGTACAGCTAAAG